TGTGTGTCTGTGTGTGTGTGTGTCTGTGTGTGTGTGTGTGTGTGTGTGTGTGTGTGTGTGTCTGTGCCCCCCGGAAGGTGGTGGTAGGTGGCAGTGCCAGTGGCTGGGGGCCCCTGGAGGACGACTTCTCCTCCAAGGATGACCGGTCCTGGCTGCTGCACCCCGGCGGTACCCGCATGCCCGTGTGCGGCTCTGAGGGCGAGGCCTTCGCCTTCATTGAGAAGTCCAACACGCGCTACGCCGTCACCACCGACATCAGCGTGGGCCAGGACACCTTCGTGCAGTTTGACTTCTCTGCCTCCTGCTCCGTCACCAGCTCCTGCTACGGTGAGCCGATCCCAGACGGCAGGCTGGACCCAGCCATGGGGGTCATCTTTACACCATAATGCCAGGAGGAACTTCATCTGAGGTTCTTCAGGAGGTTGGAACGTCAGATCTGAGGTGGATGAAGGTGGCGTGTGACTCTGCAGATTAGGATGCCGTGCTTGTGATCGAACGGTTCCCCACTCAAATCCCAGGTTCAGCGGAGTGATGTCACTGTCGGGCCCTTGTCCAAGGCCCTTAACCCTCAGTCACACCAGGGTCTGTTTGCAGATGGCGCGGAGGCCGGATGTGAGGCAGATTGTTCCGGTTCTATCTTCCTTGCCTCACGGCTGACGTCCCTCTGTGTCTCCTCTCTCTGGGTTTGGGTTCTCCTCCACACAGCCGTCCAGCTGGACTACTCACTGGACCTGGGCCTCTCGTGGCAGCCGCTGGTGAGGGACTGCCTTCCCAGCAGCCCTGACTGCCCCGCCTACACGCTGCAAAGGATGCTGGTCTCCGACGTCTACAATAAGTGGGGCCGGGTCACCCTGCCCGTCCCCCCCCATGCCAGGTCTGTGTCTCTGGACCACACCCACCACAGCCAAACCCCATCATAAACACGGGCACTTATCGACCCGGTCCTGACCCTCATCAGGTCCCCGGCGACCCGGTTCCGCTGGTACCAGCAAGCACCCTTTGACAAGCAGCAGACGTGGGCTCTGGACAACCTGTACATCGGGGACGGCTGCCTGGACATGTGCTCTGGACACGGGCGCTGTCAGAAGGGGGCATGCGTGTGAGTAGGGGGTGGCGGCACAGGGGGGCAAGGAGATGGGGGGGGCACAGGGGGGAGCATGCAGCTTTTTCCAGGGGTAATGCGTTCATCATGGAGAGTGTAGCACCTGTGATTTCTGACTTTGCCTCCCCCCCCAGCTGTGACCCCGAGTGGGGTGGCGAATACTGTGATGAGCGCCTGGCCCCCCTGCCCTCTCAGCTCAAGGACAGCTTCAGCCGGGCCCCGGGCCCCAGCAGCTGGCTCCTAGTGGTGGGCGGCAAGCTGAGTAGTGTGTGTGGGATTGTGGCCTCAGGGGCGGCGCTACACTTCGGCGGGGTGAGTGCTGGGTCTCCCTGTCTGTCTTCATGCATTTCTATTGGTCTGTTTGTATCGTGGTTCTCCCATCGGATGCATGCACAGTCCTATGTAGCATCATCATCATCATCATCATCACAGAACAGCAGCAGAACTGTCCCCTGAACTTCTGCTCCGCCCTCAGGGCTGCAGTCGGCAGCTGGTCACTGTGGACCTGAACCTCACCAGTGCCGATTTCATCCAGTTCTACTTCATGTACGGCTGTGTGGCGCCCCCTAGCAGCCGTGACCAGGACGTGCTCTTGGAGTTCAGCCTCAACGGGGGAATCAGCTGGCACCTGCTCACCGAGATCTCCTACGACCAGTACACCAAGCCAGGGTAGGGCCTGTACACGGGGCTGTATGTGTGCATATAGACTGTATTTATAAGTATATAAAGAAAGATATCAAACTGTCCGTCCATTCTGTACTATACAGGTTTGTGAATGTGCTGCTGCCCCCTGCTGCCCGGGTGGTGGGAGTGCGCGTGCGCTGGTGGCAGCCGCAGCATGAGGGCGTCGAGCGTGGCGACTGGGCCCTGGACAATGTGTTCATCGGCGGCGCTGAACCCGACGCTCAGATCCTGGACACCTTCGGGGGGGCGGCCCTGCCCAATCACGAGAGGGCCCCCGCTGACAGTGCGCCGGTGGGGCGGATCGCACACCTTGCCGTACCCGAGGAGGGCACCACAGGTACCTGAGCAGGCATACAACGCAAACCCAAGATATATTCATATTGATTGTTTTTGTGTTTCATCTTTTAGAACGAGGGTGTATCATTTTGTGATTATTTGGGGCGGGGGGTTGAATTGGTTGGTTTTGATTATTGGGGGGGGGGTTACACCCACCTATTCCCCCCTCCCCCAGTAATTTATGCCCACGTGCCCTCTCAGACATTCATATTTGCCTCACTGCATAACACCATGACGACCACCATCTTAAAAGGAGATACCTCTATATACCACTAGAGGGAGCCAGTAACCATGGTTTCAGAACCCCTGTTCTGGAAGACAATACTCACATGCAGTACTGTAATGCAGTTTGGCTTTATTTGACCATATTTCTCTCATTCTTTCATCTTCCTTTTCACCTTCTGCTATCCCTCTCTCCCTCTTCATTCTGTGTTTCTCTCTGCTTCCTCCTCCTGTTTCTCTCTTTCTCTATTCCTCCCCCCATCTCTTTTTGTCTCCCTCTATTCCTCCCTTTCTCCACTTCAGTGAAGGACCACTGGCTATTTTCTGAGGACTGCTCGGTGCAGCATTTCTGCGGCTCCTCGGATCGCGTGATGGTGTGCGGTAGCGAGGATGGGCGGGAGGTGTACGCCGTTACGCACGACATCATTCCCGGCCGTGGCTGGGTCATGCAGTTCAAGGTGTGTCATGATGTCATTGGTCCATCCTGTGGAGCAGTCCCATGCATGTCGTGTTCCCGGGTCGGTACCAGGTGCTGACTGTGTGTGTGTGTGTGTGTGTGTGCGGTTTCAGGTGGCTGTGGGCTGCAGTACTCCACAGCGTCTCACGGAGAGGCAGGTGCATGTCCAGTACTCAGTGGACTTCGGCGTGTCCTGGAAGTATTTGGTGTCTCAGTGCCTGCCGGCTGACCCTCTGTGTGGTGGTCAAGTGACCCAGCCCTCCGTCTTTTTCCCGGCCGAGGGGTGGAAGCGTGCTGTGTACCCACTCCCTGACAGTCTAGCCAACATGTGAGTCACTGCTTGACACTGAGTGACACATGAGTCATTGCTCAGAGGGTCACTGCTCGATATTGAATGATATGTGTCACTGCTCATAATTTCACGGCTCAGTGCTGAGCAACATGTGAATCACTGCTCAGGGAGTCACTGCTCAATGCTGAGTGACATGTGACTCACTATTCAGAGACTCACTGCTCTATGCTGAGGAACAAGAGTCACTGCTCAGTGAGTCACTGCTAACTGACATGCAAGTTACTGTTCTCAAACAATACCGACTGATGTGTAATAACTCAGTGAGTCAGTGCTGAGTTCCTACTTGAACACAACTCTGACTCATCTTTATTCTGAGTGAAACCATTTCGCAGCTGCGTAGCATTAACTAAAGGCTCATTAAACTTAATAAAGATACTGAAATGTGTGTGGGTTTGCATAGTGTGTATCTGTAGATCTACACTGATTAACTCTAGCTAGACTTGTTAGAACCAACCGGAACGCCCAAGAACAAGACATTTTTTACGTCTGTGTATGTTTCCCATGTGTCACCAGGGCCGTGCGGTTCCGGTTCTACCAGCGGCACTCAGACACCCAGTGGGCGCTGGAGAACTTCTACATCGGCCCGGAGTGCGAGGACCACTGCGGGGGCCACGGTGACTGTCTGGACCGGCGCTGCCTCTGCGACCATGGCTTCACTGGACCCAACTGCCACTCCAGCTCGTCACTCAAGGTACTGATCCAGATCCGGCTGCGGAGAAGCTCCCAGCTCCGCACTCTCTCATGGCAGCATGTTGTCTTTTCCCCGTGTTACAGACCTCTCTGAAGGAGCGCTTCGAATGGGTCGACACTCCGGGGCATCAGTGGCAGATTGTGGAAGGAGGTCGACCCTGCACTGACTGTGGGGTGCTGGTGGAAGGGATGGCGTTGTATTTCGGGGGGGACAATGCTCGGCAAGCCATCACTGTGGACCTGGACCTCCGGGGGGCCAAGTCAGTCTCGCTCTCTCCTTCCGCTCACCAGCAAATATTATTAGATCTATACAACTGGCCTAGAAGATCTTGTCAATAATATCTCACGATGGGTCATAACGGAACTGACCAGTAGATGGTTCTGTCCCGTTTTGCTGCAGGTTTGTAGAGTACTGGGCAAAGATTGGCAGTCAGAACAACATGACCATGTGCCACCGGGCAACGTGCCGCTCTGAGGGGGTGCTGCTGGATTTCTCCACTGACGGAGGAGTGTCCTGGACCCTCTTGCACGAGATGGATTACCTGAAGTACGTGTCGGCACGCAGGGACTACATCGCGCTGCCTGTGGAGGCTCTGACCAATGCCACGCGTCTGCGCTGGTGGCAGCCATTTGTCATCTCCTCTGGTCTGGCCACGCCCAGCGTGGAACGCGCTCAATGGGCCCTGGACAACGTCCAGGTGGGCGGCTCGGACATCAACCCAAGCACCCTGCTGGATACGTTTGATGACGGTGAGGATTAGACCCTCTGTCTCTTCATTCTGAATCAGGACTGTGCTGTGGGGAGTGACTGTCTATCCATCCACTGACTGACTAATACTGTGTTTCCACTCCCAACTGTGCCCCGCCTCTTATTTGTGATGTAACCGCGCCTCCCCTGTTCCTCACTGGTCCATCTGTCAGAGGGTGTGTCTCACGAAGACAGCTGGAGCTTCTACCCCAACGCCGTGCGCACAGCCGGCTTCTGCGGGAACCCATCGTTTCACCTGTACTGGCCCAACAAGAACCAGGATGGGACGCACAACGTGCTGGTGACACGCGAGCTCATAGTGCAGCCTGGGTACATCCTGCAGTTCAAGGTCAGGATCCTCCTACCTCACAGCATTAAAAGCCTCCCCGTCCTGCAGCCCCCTTCCTTTGGGTGGACACTACATGGGAGTTTTTAACACCCGCTTTAAGATGCTTCTAATTCTGGAAAATATTTGAAAGATATTTTTATAGATCCATTATAGTGATTTGTTTTTGCCAGTATCATCAGTTGTAGACATTTTTTTATATCAGCATGGAATCCCAACAGCCCTAACCTTGCGTCCTCGTGGTGCAGATCGTGGTGGGCTGTGAAGCTGACAGCTGTGAGGACCAGCATGCCGTGCGGCTGGAGTACAGGAAGGATGCCAGGTGGGAAGAGGTTGCTGGTTCAGGCTGCTGTGTGGACTATTGTCCCTTAAAGGATTAGTGTTTGTTTTCCCTGCCCCCTGATAACACTGATGGGCCGCTTACCTTACTCTACTCAGGTCGGACTCGTGGCAGCTGGTTCAGTCCGAGTGCCTCCCCTCCTCTATCAACAACTTGGGCTGCTCCCCTTTCCAGTTCCACGAGTCCACCATATACAGTCCTGTCAACAGCTCGGTCTGGACCAGGGTCACTGTCCAGCTGCCGGACTACGTCTCCTCTGGGTATGGTCTCTGACTGTATGCCCTGTGATGGTCTCTGACTGTATGCCCTGTGATGGTCTCTGACTGTATGCCCTGTGATGGTCTCTGACTGTATGCCCTGTGATGGTCTCTCTGGACATGCAATGGTTCTATATATTTTTGTCTTTATCTCTTTGAGGACAGTGACTGAATTAATTACTGCTGAATCATGGGTTTATGTTCTCCAAACTTCATCGCCGATATCTCTGTGGCAGTGCAACGCAATTTCGCTGGATCCAGCAGGGGGGCGCTGGTGAACATCACGGCTGGGGCGTGGACCGCGTCTACATCGGGGAGGCGTGTCCCGGGCTCTGCAGCGGCCGCGGCTACTGTACCAGCGGCGTCATCTGCATCTGTGATGAGGGTTACCAAGGTGGCCACTGGGGACGACATGTCATCCACACCGAGTTCTCTTCATTAATGCTGTCGGATGACTTTTTGTTTGCTATGGCATGTGACTGACGGTTTCGTGTATGTTGATGAAGCTGATATGAAGCACATCGTGGGACTCTCACGTTTTATTGGCTTTGCTGTCCCTGCTGGGAGAGCCTGGATTTATAGAGCCCTCATATAGGGACCGCTGTGTATTATCGTCAGTGCCCTGGTGACCACATTACCTTCCACTTCTTCACCAACTTCCTTCCTTCTCCAGGTGAGGATTGCTCCCTGACCACCATCGACCTGCCCAGCTCAATCAAGGACAACTTTGAGTCTGGGGGCACGTCGGGAGAGCACTGGAAGCTGATCCAGGGAGGGGTGGTGGGTAGTGGCTGCGGCCAGCTTTCACCTCACGCCCACGGGGACTCGCTCTACTTCAGTGGCTGTAGGATGAGGCAGGCCGTCACCAAGCCGCTGGACCTGACTAGAGCCAGGTATGGCAGGGATCATCTAGTCATTCACAGCACACACCTTGTGTCATGTGTAGCGGGGTCAAGCAGAGGTGGGTAATTCACCTCCAGAGAGTAAAAGTCCAGATCAAGATCTTGTTTCAACCAACCAGTTAAATATAGAGTCCCAGTCACAGAGTGACTCAACTGATAAGTTTAAAAAAATCTTGATCTAGTTCAAGGTTCAAGGTTATATGATTCTCCAGCGACTCAGTCCCTTGCTGACTTCCTCTGTTCTGCTTCCTCCTGCAGTAAGATCATGTTCGTGCTGCAGATCGGTGCCACGGCCCAGACGGACAGCTGCAACGTGGCCCTGGACCGGCCCGATGTGGTGGACCGGGCTGTCCTTCTGCAGTACAGCGTCAACCATGGAGTCAGTTGGCATGTCATTGCCCATCACCAACCCAAGGACTTTATTCGGGCCCAGAGGGTGTCCTACAACATCCCGCTGTGAGTGTGGGGAGCATATGATCTACGATCAGCTTACTATCACAAAACTCCAGCCATAATCAAGGAGGTTAACCCAAAGAAAATCTGATCCCATTGCACACTGAAATCCTGCAAGGGCAGTGGGGCAAATGGATATCAAACTTCTTTAAGACATGGAAAACCCTTCTATAACAAAGACTAATTTAGCCATTATAATGCAGGGATATATACCATATAAAAGTATTCCTATGTTTCTCCCTGCCCCCCCCCCCACTCCCAGGGAGGCACGGGTAAAGGGGGTGGAACTACGATGGTGGCAACCGCGGCACGGCGGCGCCAGTCGTGACCAGTGGGCTCTGGACCACGTTGAAGTTGTCCTGTGAGTATCTCCACCACCATAAGCCCCCCCCTCCACCGGCACTTACCATTACGGCCCCCAAATATCACTGGGCCCCCTGGCCACTTCCGGCATCCCTCCCGTTATGAGTGTAAATCAAGTGACGGAAATAAAGCTGCACAGCGCACCATACATCCGCAGCGGCGCTCTCTCTCAGCCTCTCCAATCACGGCGCACCATACATCCGCAGCGGCGCTCTCTCTCAGCCTCTCCAATCACGGCGCACCATACATCCGCAGCGGCGCTCTCTCTCAGCCTCTCCAATCACTGTCTGCATCCTCGTTACAAGTGTTGAAGCGTACAGCTCCCGCCAGCCACCCGACATCGCTAACGCTAACAGGCAGGGTAAATCCAGCGCGGAGGACCACTCCCAGTGTCTCTGGGATGTTGGGTGACCCCCAATGGCGCTCCTCCTTCTCCTCTTCCTCCCTTATGCTGTTGACGACAGTACCTGTTGGGACGATTTGCTCTTGATCCTTACAAAGCTCTTTTTTTTTTTTTTGTCTTCTCCGTTTTTTCCCTTCCATGTTTTATTTACTCATTCTTTATATCCCTTGTTCGCCGGACATCCCACATCTTACCTCCGCACATCCCGCCTCCTGTTGGCTTTTCCTTCTCCATCGTCGCCTCCCTTCATGGTCCCCTATCTCATCTCATTCTCTCGTCTTTCTCTCACTCTGTCCATCGCTGTACGATCATGACTCCCCTCCCAACAATAACCACTGGTTCCCGACCCCCAGGCCAGGTGTCCTGTCTGCCCAAACCCTCCTGCCGGGCAGATGCCCCCTCCCGCCCCTCCCCTCTCGCACCCTAACCTCTGCTCTCTTCTGTATTCTGCTCCCTGTGGCATGGCTGTAGAGTCAGGTAAGTTCCCCGTCTCGTCTCGAATGTGCCCCCTCCCTTAATGCCTGCATCCAGACTCACCTGTGCCAAACCCTCCTCCATCTGTCTAACCTCACCCACCGAACCTCCTGGGAGTTACAGCCAACCATCTCCAAGAAGATTCTTCTGGAGTTTTGAGGTCGTCATGACATCTCACACAGTTTTTCCAGACACAAAAATATATAGGGTGGTAACTGTTTCTAGAATAATCCATTCCTCTTTCTGTGGGGGGTTTATAGGACCATCTAGGTCCATATTGTTCTAGGTTCCCTGTATGGTCTCTAGGTAGAAATTTTCACCTGAAACATACTGGCCATGTAAGGAAGATTTTCTCTGTGTCCTAAATATGAAAAATGGAGAAAACTGCACAAATTTATAAGAAGTGAATGGAAGCAGTTCCTGAGAAAGATCTATGCTCACCTCTACGGTAGACCGTGTCTCCTGTGGAATGTAAGATACATGAGATTATTTCTGGATTATTAGTGGCGTGCTAAGGAAATAGGTGGCAGTATGAAACATCACCCACGGATCTGAGCTCTGCAGAGAAGCTGCAGACACCATCCGTCCCCCCATGTGTGTGTCACCGGCTGCACAAATGAAAACGTATCCTGCACTTCATGCTTTAAGTACTACATCCGCAGTTCGAAACCCGCATGGCTTCCCACTCCATTGAACACCTACCCCAGCCTTTCACCGCTTCTGCTGGCGTCTAACTCTGAGAAGCTAGACCGGGCCCTGTTTGCGTCTGTCTGATGTCACATGGTGCGGGGATGTGGGGGGACAAGGTACAACAACCACACATTCCACAACCCCCCCCCCCCACCAGCCATCTGTCTTCCCACTGTCCCCACCCTGCTTTGCAGAGTCCCTGCCTGCACTGGCTGTTCTCCTGGCTCACTGGCACCGCCCTGCTGGATGGAAGAGGCACTGGAAGGCTAAGCAAAAGCAACCTTCATGGCTGTATCTCTCCCCCTATTTGCTGGATTTGTTTTCTTGCCCTTCTCCCTGGTTCTCTTTCACTGGTAGCTTTTACGATGACTGCAGCCGTGAAAAGACACCGAGGACAATTTGGTTGTGATAATGACCAGGGCTATTGCAGAAGTGGCAAATATAGAGATTGCACTACTGTTTAAATGGCTTAGTGCTTTGACTCCAGGACTATTTGAGGAAGACAGCAAAGCAGATGATGGTGTCCAGTTCCACTGTGAGGATAGAAATATATCCTGTGGTAGAGGTGTCAGGGAAACAACCGTTTGCTTTTGCATGTGTTCCTGGATTCCGTGACTCAGAGGATGATGCAAATATACAGTGATCAGGACCATAGTCCTGCTCAGAAAGCGTGGACTGTGGGGCGAACGCTCACAATTTATTAGCTGCAGTACTTCAGTTTTAGTAGTTTAGGTTGCATTTACTCTCATATTTAGTTCATTTATCTTGAGAATGTCAACGAAAGTATGTTTTATCAAGGAAAAGGGTGGTGTTTCTGCATCTGGGTACCGTGGCCTAGAGTAAGAGGCGTAGACGGAGCAAATAATGATAGTTGCTAGGGCGACTATCCAAGGTTTGAGGGACAAGAAACGCTGTCCTCAGGGCCGATAAAGAGCCGTCCTTCGATCAAAGAAAAATAGCAGTGAAAGGGAAGCGGCTTGTCTGCTCCTGTCCGTGGTCCTTGGAGTTTGGCTGCTTCCGCTTCCGCAGACCTCAAACACAGCATCAGCGGTCCTCAGCAAAGTCGTGTTTATCACAACTTTGTCGTCTGCAAGAAAGAGGCTGCGATTAGAAATGACAAATGACAGATTAAACCTGTGTACAGCCCTGTATAAGCCCAGTGAGTCTCAGTCAGGTTTGTCTGTCTCAGAATTTATTATTAATTATCAAATGGGTCATTGCACCATTTTATCAAACAGTCGGTCCCCCATGGAGACTTTTGACGAAGGGGAAGCAGGAGTTCAGATCACAGAGGAGATGGATGGTGGTGACTTTGCAGACTGAGGCTCGGCCATATTTGAGGGACAGGCTTGGGGCTGATTGCGTCATTATGGCGGCTGCAGAACCTGGAATGCGGGCGTTTGAGGTTCCCCGACGGACAGTTTTGTATATTTGCTAACAATTGACAACATCGTTATCATGCTCATTAATCGCTTCTCGTCTCTCTTCCTCACTTCCTCTCTCTCTCTCTCCACAGCACCCGCAAGCAAAACTACATGATCAACTTTTCCAGACAGACTGGTCTGCGCCACTACTACAGCAGGAGGAGGCGGTCACTATGGCAACGCATCTAAACACAGCACATGGTTCGTCCCGGGGCCTGCCAATCACACATGAGCCCTCATCCCACCCTATGTCCTGAGCCCCACCCACCGGCGGATTCCAGTCAGCCTCAGACCATCCCACTGCTTTCTGACAGACTCAGTGGCCGTCCAATCAGAAGTCTGGGAAATCTGAGCTGCAGCCAATCAAGGCCATCCTGGGGAAGGTTACAAAGGGAAGGGTAGTGCAACAGAGCAGGCAAATGGTTTATTTTTCATGGACTTTCATGGTTTTATCATAATTGTTGTTCTTGCTATTCTTCCTCTCCTAACTGCGATACTCCCCCGGCCTCCCCCCCCCTTAAATCCTCCTCTATCACACTGTGAAGATAAAAGAAATCACTGAAAATGAGACAGTGCTGATACCGGTAAGCTGGGTGGCGCCAGCGAGTCGGGAGCGGCGAGGAAGACGAGGACGATGAGGACTGTGTTCTTGCTGTTTTTATGTGTCTGTGGACTCTTATTGTGAAATCTTGACTGTGGCGTCTGGTTCATTTGGTTGTTGATCTCCCTGTTTTTCTTTCTTGTTGATCTGAACTGCTTGATTGTCATGGGAAGCATGGTCTTTGCGGCAAAAGGGAAGGAAGGATGAATCTAGAAAAAAGAAAAATGCAAAAAAAAAGAAAAAAATGAAATGATTTTATTCCTTCTAATTTTTATATGTTGGCTCCCAAAATGCAGATATTTATGGCATTTTCCCCACGTACCCTATTTAAAATGCACTGTTTGTGAAATATTCGTGTTTTTTTTTTTGTAGTGTTAAGTTATTGGCAGTGGAGATAGTCTGACTGCATTGCCCGCCCCGCCCACCCCAAACTCTGTTCTCTCATGCTGAAATCACCCCCCAACCCCAGTCTCATTTTAATTTGCATTCCTGGAGGCGGAGTTTCTGTGTCAGTGTGGTTTTTTTTGCACTCTGTGTATTATGGATTCCTGCGCTCCAGTGTAAGTTCAGTATAGCAGTTTCCTGTACAGGTATGTATACCCCCCCTCCCGGGGACCAGCTGGCAGCCTTATAAAGGGGAAATAAAGAGCTGTCCAAACCTCAGTCGTGTGCCGTGCGTGTGTGTGTGTGTGTGTGTGTGTGTGTGTGTGTGTGTGTGTGTAAGCCATGTATATATTACATTGTGGGGCCCATTTTTTTGGTGGGGAAACTCAATTTTGTAAAAATCTGACTGCAACAGAGTCTTGTATTTTGTTTGGTTACTTATGGTTAAGGTTCGGGCTGGGTAGGGGTTACGGTTGTTGTGTTGGGATTAGAATTTTGCCCTTAGAAATGAATAGAGAGTCCCCACAAAGATGGATATGAACATGTGTGCGTGTGTGTGCATGTGAGAGTCCGTGTGAGTGTCCGTGTACGTGTGTGTGCGTGTGTGTGTGTGTGTGTGTGTGTGTGTGTGTGTGCAAGGGCCTTTTTGCTAAGCGGGAATAACACGTACCAGGCTAAGCATGAACATGGCAGGAATTCACTCCAGCATGGAAACTTCTGCGCTATAACATCTCTGTCCATTAAACCCCCAACGGCTAGTCGGTTTCCCCCCAGGAGCGATGAAGTTTATCTAACTTAGTCTAGTACAGGATCACACACTATGGCAATTCACTATGACCCAAATGCACTACTGGGAATCTGAAGATGGTCTCACTGCACATCTTCGGGCTGCGAGAGGAGGCCGCACGACACGACACATCCTCCGACCGAGGATGTGTAACCAATGACTGCGTTATTATATCATACTTTGCACCGAATAACCGGTTTTGCTTCAGTTTCACTGTCTATAAAGCTGGTCCTTCAAAGCAGTGAAGGTGAAATACAGGTTGTACATGCGCTTATTTCTCACGTTAATAGCTGTCAGACGCTGCAGCATGCCACATGGAATGTAGCAGTCCCCACAATGGAAATGGGCATCTTTTCAGTCACAAAATCCTGCTTTGATCTTCGGCCCAATAAAACATACTTGCAGCTAATGAAACAAATGTGTTTTGGCAGTCTTGGCCGTGATCTGTGTGGATGGGTAAGCTGCTTACTGAACTGGGAGCAGGAACCGGCTGTCTCAGTAAAATTACCTCATACTTCAGTCCAGAGTTAAAGAGAAAGCCAATAATAACCAAAGCAGAGGCACCAGGGGCTTGTACTACGAAGTGAGGTTACTGGCTTATCGGGGTAACTTATCGGATTTAAGGTAATCTGGGCAAAATGTAAGTGAACGAATATGAAGTCCATTTAAACCGTGGTACCTTAAATCCGACCAGTTACCCCGATAAGCCAGTAACCCCGCTTCTATGTACAAAAAGGGGGTGAACGCATAACTGCACACTCTAAACGTAGCCAATTAGATCTCTGATGGCAACTTCCAGAACCTCTTATGAGCTCAGACATAACTCACATTAGACCTACAGCACTGACAGATTCGGAAAAAGTCACCTCTATAAAATGGCAGAACATCTCTTCAAATGGGCTCTTTAGCAAAGGGATCTCATGTCCCGCATTTCCATAGAGCATTCATAACTATAGAGAATCTGCAATAGTCAAACAACTTGACTTTTGACATACAGAATTTCCTCCCCCACTGTTACTTGTGTATGTGCCTTTCTGCAAAAATAAATACAATGAAATAAGGGATGTGTTCTTTGTTTTGACTGGGGAAAATGCACCCACCTCAGTACAGTACCACCAGTGCTCAATCCCTCTACATATTTATCTGGGTTGTGTGTGTGTGTGTGTGTGTGTGGGGGGGGGGGGATCAGGAACCTATGGGCACAAGTCAGAGAACAACAGAGGATGGGGCACCAACCCATCACAGGGCACACTCAAGCACCATTTACACACCTACAGGCAATTTGGTAACCCCAATTAACCTCAGCATGTTTTTGGACCTTGGGGTGGGGGAGAGAGCCAGAGCACCCAGTGGAAACCCTCCAAGGAGAGCATGCAAACTTCATACACATGGAGCCATGGTGGACACTCAAATCCTGGTCCCAGAGGTGTAAGGCAACAGTGCTACCCACTGCACCCACCATGCCTCCACTTTATCTATAGCCAATTTTCGTAATTTTGAATTCCATTTTTGGATTGGCTATTAAACATACTCCCACAAACCTATGTGACTGAGTTTCATTCAGACTTGGTTTCTTCTGTTAAAGAGCTCTCCCTGGCAATTCTGCCCGCCATGGCAGCATACGTGACAAATACTGAAATACAATACAGACACTTAAAAAGAAGAAGGGTTTATTTCAGGAGCCAGCCATATTTAAGAAAAGGGCCAATTCTGAAATTTGATTTCTGAAGCAGTAAGTTTTGAAACTAGTTCAGAAGAATGTGTCATAATAAGATGTTTATTAATCGTCGGTCCCCTCATCACGTTTTGGATGAGCATACTGCACGCCCCAGTCACTTCGTCACCGACGCCGTGGTGTAGTTTTGCGACGCTCCCTGGGCGCCCGCGCGGCCCAATCGCGGCGCGCGCCTGTGGCTTCCGGTGTGTTTGGTGACGTGGCTACGTGTTGAAATCGGAGCAGGAAAACAGGAATTAAAGAGCGAAAAAGAGGCGCTGCGCAGGACTGGACGCTCAGGTCAGCTTTTCGCTCCTCTACTTTATGTTTCGTTGTTTATACAGCAGCCTGCGACCTGCCTTTCGTCTGTTAAAAAAGCCCTAGATATTGTTGTTGCTGTTTTTGGTTTCGCTTAGCGGCGCAGCCTCTGTTTTGGCTCCTTTATAGCAGGCAGTATAACTTAGGCGCTTTTACGGTGGCTTTGCCAGTAAATTCGGGGCATCGTTTAGTCCTGCAGTTCCCTGCGGTGACATCGTAGCGAAGACCCGTAGTTTAACTCAGTGCTGCGCTTTTACACTTTGAGTATTACATAACTGGAAGGCTGGCATTATTTCGCTGTGAGATTGTGCCATTTTGGTATAATGACGCACCTCGCCTATGTGTGCCAGTATTGTCCGGTTCCGTGCCGTGCCGTCCTGCGGCCGGGCCTCTGTGGATTTCATTACCCCCTAGATGTCGCATGACAGCTGGCCTTGGGAGCTGCCCTCTCTCTTTCTGTACAGTTCAGAGCATGTTTACAAAACCTGGGGTCGGGATACAATGGCAAACAGTGCGTTACCCATGTCCAGAATACGTAGATGCGAAAATGGCGTAACTTGTTCCTTTCTCGACAGTTTTTTTTCTATATTTATTTTGTAGTGGTAGTTCACCGTTCAGTACGGTTATTGTGGCTTTAAACTTTTTATATTCCAGTCTGTTTAGTGGTTACTAAAAGTTGATGAGCTATTGTTGGATTTGCTTATGACAGACAGTATTAGTTTCATGCTGATATATTGCATTTGTAGTCTGCTCTCACATATATAGCTAAATTTCATATCTTAAACCATTGCCTTATGCTGCACCAATTGTATATGGGCGTATGTTTTTGTATTGAATTCTGTGCTTCGGGCGCTGTTTCACCAGCAGGGCCGCGATGTTGAGTCGACTGGCCCAGGGGGTGAACTCGGTGCTGCAGGAGCTTTCAGGAGAGGAGAGTCCAGAGGCAGGAGCTGAGGTGAGGCAGTGCTCTAACAGGATATGTGACAGCTTCATGTTCTACAGGGCCGAGTCAATTTCTGTAAACAAAATCCAAAAAAAGAAATATTAGACACCTGACATTGTCTTCTTGCTCATTAAGCTCCTTGCATGGAGAGTTTAAATGACTGATCTGTGGGATGGTTCGTCAGTGATGTGTGATCAGCCCTCATAGAAAGTGCTCCTCTGACATGCGTAGGCGTTATCTTCTCCAATACCTCTACTCTGCTCACTGGTCAGGATGGCGTGACCCTGCAGACACCCGCAGATGGTGCCGGGACCTCTGCGGTCCCCGGGGATGAAGAGGACGCCATGGAGCGTTTGGCCCAGATGGAGCAGCTGGTGGTTCAGCTGAAGGAGCTGATCCGAGAAAAGGATGGCCAGCTGATCACCGCAGAGAGGCAGCTGAAGGTTTGGATCCATAGATGGTGTATGAGAAGTGGTGATGGAATGGAAGAGTGACCACTATCATGCTAGGGTTATGTGTAATTGTGGAATGTCTCATGACTTTGAATGTGGAGATCTGCTGTTGTGTGCATTGGCTGTGTGTTTTAGGTACCATGTGGTTTGTGTGTGTGATGTAGGAGGAGAAGGAGGCTGGTGAGATGCGTTTGACCAAACTGAAGTTACAGGCCAAAGCCAAGGTGGCTGCTCTCACCAAGCAGGTTTTAGAGCTAAAGGGGCAAGAAGAAGCCGGCAGCCAGGTGAGCACTTTGAAATTCACCTTTTTTCACACCAGCCCAAGTCTTTATATGTTGTATGTTGTGTTTTTCCATTCATTTTTGGCTCCCTCCCCAATAGAGTCCCGATAACTCATTCGCATCATCACCGGCTGTAGAGGAGGAGCTCCAGCAGCTTAGGCTCCGCCTCCAAGAGGAGGGGTCTGTGTCCAGGGCACTACGGGAGCAGCTGGAGGTGTCAGAGCAGGGAGCGCGTGAGGCTCAGGAGAAGTACACGGAGCAGGTAATGTGCTCTGCTCTTGTGGTTGGGGAGCGTGGAACCATGAGACAGGGATGGCATCCTCAACAACCCTGCGTCGTATCCCTCCCCACCAAAGCTGGGGGCGATGCAGGCGGTGGTATGCGAGAAGGATGTACGGTTCCGGGAACAGGTCCAGAAGCATGAAGAGGAGCTACTGAAGGTATCTGCCCAAGTACAGAGCGATGGTGCAGTGCAGCAGGTACAGCCTCCTACTCGCTTAGACGTGCTCTTGCTTACACTTAAAGGCTGGCTTACCATGGTACCCTATGTGCCGCCTCCCCCCCAGGCTCTGCATGTAGCCCAGAGGCACAAAGAGGAATTAGAGGAGGCACTGCGCTCCCGATTGCAGGTGCTGGACATGCTGCAGCAGGAGCTGAACAGTGCGGACCAGCAGAAACAGGTGGGCCAACGCCATAGCGCAGGTACTAGAGCAGGAGCACCAAGACTTGGATAGCTTATGGGGACAGAAGGGAGTGTTTTGTGTTGTGGAGACAAGGGGGTTTTCGCAATATGTGTACTTCACCGTTTTTGTGTTCTCGTGTACCTGTTTTATGTCCTCTTTCATTGCCAAAGACCAGTTCCAGTACTCAAGAACATTAGTAAAGTGGACAGTTTAAAAAAAAAAAAAAAACCCTGGATGTCATTCTGGATGCCCCATCCCAAATATCAATGAGACCAATCCCATGATTCATTGCACCCCAAATTCTTTTTTGGGAGGCAAGTTGGCAAGACTAATCTTGCCAAGACCACAAGTATGATCTTTGAGTTCTTGGTATTGAGAAACACCCATGGACAGACATGGTGGTAGACTCAGCATCTCTGCTTGACCTTGAAACTTATAGGTGAAAAGGGCATCATGGGCATAGAGACTGAGCTGTTGGTATGACTTTTCTCTTTCTCTTTGTTCCTTCACCTCCCCGCAGATCCTTACTGTACAGTTCATGCAGATGGAGCTGGAGTTGGCTGAGACCAGGAGGCGGCAGGAGGAGGAGAGGCAGCAGTGGGCCCAGGAAGCTGGCCAGACCCAGGCAGAGCTGACGTCCCTGAGGCAGAGCCTGGAGGCTGCCTACCGGGAGAGGGAAGACGGGGCCGGCAAAGAGAACAAGGCTGTGGCTGAAATGGAGGCAGAGCTCGGTGCTCTGAAGGAAAGGCTAGAAGCAGTAAGGAGAGAGAAGGATGAAATGGTGGCTGAGGCAGAGCTGAGGGGAGCAGAGCTTGCTGAACTGAAGTCGAGGCTGGAAGCAGCAGAGGCCAAGAGGGGGGGGGTAGAGGAGAGAATGGAGACCGAGGCAGAGCACAGCGAAGCACAGCTGACTGAACTAAGGGCAAGGCTGGAGGCAATGGAGGCTGAGCGGGAGGATGTGGAGAAGAGAATGAAGGCTGAGGCAGAGCAGAGGGTGACAGAGCTGACTGATCTGAAGGTGAGGATAGAGGCTGCAGAGGCTGAAAGGGTGGAGGTGGAGAAGAAAATGGAGGTTGAGGCAGAATGGAGGGGGGCAGAGGTAACTGATCTGAGGTCGAAGCTAGCAGCATCGGAGGCCAAGAGGAGGGAGGTAGAGGAGAGAGTGGAGGCTGGGGCAGAGCACAGGGAAGCAGAGCTAATTGATTTGAGGTCGAGGCTGGAGGCATCTGAGGCTAAGAGGGAGGGGGTAGTGAAGATAATGGAGGCTGAGGCCGAGCTGAGAGGAGCAGAGCTGGCTGAACTGAGGGCGAAGCTGGAGGCATCTGAGGCTGAGAGGGAGGGGGTAGTTAAGAGAATGGCGGCTGAGACCGAGCTGAGGGGAGCAGAGCTGGCTGAACTGAGGTCGAGGCTGGAAGCATCTGAGGCTGAGAGGGAGGAGGGGAGGCAGCAAAAGGATGAGGCCCTAGTTATGATGGAAGGGGAGCCTGCTGCCCTCAGGGACACAGAAAGGGAAGGACAGCAGACACTGCTACTGGCAGAGCTGTGGAAGGGACTGTGTGCTCTGGCCAAAGGAGAAGCAGCAGACGGATTGGGGGAGGAGCCCACTTTACCCAGGGACTCTGCCCAGTGTGGAGTGGTCCTGCGTGCTCTGGAGTCTCAACTGCTGAGGATGGACACCCTGCAGGGTAAGCAGTTGCATGCGGGCCCATGCAGCATGGACAAGAACCTCGTTGTGCTCACTCCATTTGCTGATGGTGCAATGCCAGCTGGGTGACGCCTATCCAAAATGAATGACTTTCCAGGAGAGCCGGCTGGGGCTGCGTCAGAGGGGGCGGAGTCAGAAACCCTCATACAGCAGCCTGAGCAGCCAATCGACATGCTGCAGGTAAGGGTGTCCCGAGAAGGAGCCGTGTAAATGGTTAGGGCGGGATCCCATTCTGTCTTGGCTAAATAATATGGAGGTGATAAGGGATATTGTTCCTTGTTATCGTTCCTATTTAAGTGTATACAATCATATTAGTATTTGGCAGGTTTCAAGTGATATCTGTCTTGTCAACACACCTAGTAGATGAATCAATTAGGCTAAATCACTGGACGATTTATTAATTTTACTTTTGTATTTATTTATTAATACATATTTTTGTTCCATTAAAATGAGTAATGGAATGGGTTCTAAGGATGCAGTGTATCCTCGCAGTGTTAAGCCGCACTGCATATCCTGCGAGAGTGGGACAGATGAAGACACAGCGCCCTCGTCTTTAATGTACTTCAGCTGACCGAAACCCGAAGCATGTCTTGTTTCTGGGTAGATCGTGAATCGTAGTTTTGAACCCCAGTTTGTCCTGTTTTGTTCACGTTGCACATGCAGTACAGTACATACTCAAGGTCAGGGGTCCCCGACGGAACTACCTGACTAGGCCAGTCGCCTAATTGGTATCCATTCTACACTAAATGGGATAAATGTATGGGTTTTTAGTGACTGGACCAGAAACTGGTTTGGTATAATACATCAGAGCCTATTCTGTGGCGTATAGGTTTGTTTGGACTATACAGTCGTTTGCATTGCTAATAAAATAATGTATTCTAAACTTTCAGTCTATGCTGTTAATAATACTAATGTTTAAAACATGTCTGTTGGTTAGGCATATTTGCTTGTTTACAGAATTGTTTTGAATGCAGAGGGGGGAATTTTTTTGTCGAAGGATTTTTAATATTTCTAAGACTGACCAAATATAACCGTAGCAGGCTACCGCCATGCTTCCATTTGCAAAATAAAAGGGTTTCAGCGGATTTCAGTGAAGTTCACAATGTAAACGAAATGGTACGTCTCCCACGTTCTTCTTGCTGCCAAAATCATCGAGGGCGTAGCCCCTGTTTTCTTGCTTGATGGATTAATAATACTTCTTGCATGGCCACATTGTCTTTCGGGTTTAGTGCAGTGGGTGCGTCCACGCTGATCAGGGGAGAATGCGCTTAACTTAAAACCGCCTTACGCCAAAAAAAGTGTTTAAAAAGTAAGTGCTTGATTGGAAAATCAAGCCTATTGTAAATAGCTGCATTGCCATGTATTTACAGTGTATTCGCACGGTAAATACACGATAATACATGGTAATTACCCTTGTTGCAATGAGTGTGAGCCAGTCCAGATTTCCCCTCCATCACCAGGATTAATGGTGATGCAAGCTGAAACTAAATTTATTGAGCACACATTTCACTCTGAGAAGATGGCATGCAGTGCAAACGCTACCGCTGGGTATCATTTGGGGGGTTTTCCGATTATGGTGCTAAAAATGATACTTTTAAAACAATGGTGTGAACTGGTACTTTAGAATAAATTTTTTAAAGCACAAAACAAAGACCGACAACATTAAAGAACTTTTAAAATATTATTTTGTACTTCAAATTGAACAATATATTAACTTAAATATATAACTATATACAGTAATCCCCTTCGCGGACTTTACATATAATGTATAAATATTAGTGATGCATAGTATTTGGTAGTGAAAGTGCGTATTGTATCTAATAAGTTTTGGCTTGGGTACACTGTGTATCGTTGTCTTTGTAACCAGCCTTTCTCGCTTGTTAGCTGGCTTTGTGACCAACCAGCTGAGCGTAAAGAGTCAGTCATTTAAGACTCAACTGGTTGGTTGAATCAAAATCCTGGTCTGGATTTTTACTTTCTGGACCTGAAATGTCCATCTCTGACCTCTTGCAAAGCAATGGCACAATTCCCCTGCTCCGCAAGCCCCTCTGCCTAGCTTATCACGGAACTCCAAAGATGACGATGTGGATCCGCAAGCACTGATGTTCAAGGCTGCCCGGCCACCTGGAGTGCAGGGAAGTTCAGCGGCTCGCCACAAACCGCTGGATTTGTTCAAGCTGTTTTTCAGCACAGATACTGTAAAGACGCTATACAAGAACACTAACCAACATTCCGCCAGGCACATGGCAAACGGGAAGAATTACAAATGGACTGATGTTTGTGTCGAGGAGTTTCCTTTTACATGGCCATGGTGAAGTTAGATCACATAAAGAACTATAGGTGACAGAACACCATTTTTTCGCACATACTTCCACCAAAAGTTATGAGCAGGGACAGATACGTGACAATTTCATGGAACGTTCACGTGAGTGATCCTAATGAGCACCATGACAATGACCAGAAGCGTGGAACGCTCCAGCACGATGGGTTCTTCCAGGTGAAAGCTCTCATGACCATGATCCAGGATGCCCACAGAACCTTCTGTCATCCACACAGGAACCTCGCTGTAGATGAAAGAATGATACCAGCCAAGACGAAGACTGGGATGACACGGGACATTAAGGGAAAAGGCGACCAAATGGGGATTCAAGCTGTTCGTTCTTGCTCACTCTAGGGACGGGTACACTGTAGACTTTTCTGCGTACACGGGAAAGAATGACTTCTAGTCAGGGCAAGGACTTTCATATGGCACTGTAATGTCACTACCTGGGATATGAATATCATGTGTGCATGGACAATTTTTGTACCCAAAGCTTTTACATACTTGCTATCGTAAAATGCGGGTGCTTGTGGGACATACACAAACAACAGGATGGGCTGCCCTCACCCCATGTCGAATGCTTTGACCAACAAGTCTCCTAGAAGGCCATTCAGGTGGATCTGGGATGGTCCAGCAGTTTTTGTGAAGTGGATGGACACACTGTCTGCTCCACCATCCACAGCGCTTACAAAGGGGGCAAAGTACAGTGAAGAGTGAAGTCCAAAGATGACGTGGACAACAAAGCCTTTTCCTTGTCCATCTCTGTTATTGAGTATAATACTCATATGGCTGGTGTTGACCTCTCAGATCAACTCATTCAGTACTATTCAGCACAACATCAGGCTATGAAATGGCACAGAAAGGTGTTTCTCCGTCTCCTGGAGATTGCTGCCACTAATGCTTACTGAGCTGTCAGCACTTGTACAGCAGAAGCTGATGATCCACAAGAACTTCATGGAGGAGCTTATCGGGCACAATGGAATGTTCACAACAGAGTCATTCTGGTCATGAAGCAGTGCCAGCGAGCCCGTCAACCAAGGATGTCAGCATGGTACGGTGGCAGGGCTTGCATGCCGTGCAGGGCGGGTGGCAAGAGGCAGAACACTCCCTGGAAGGGTAAGGCGTGTGACGCTTCACTCTGCCTGCAGCTAACAAGGAACTGCTTTGAAAAGTGGCACAAGAAGTGAACAGGATATTTGTATAAATCACATTTGGTGTCTATAGGCAATTACATGAACTATGTTTACAGAAACTATATTGTAAACCATTTGAACCTAATTTTTGTCCAGTTTTTTTTTGCAATAAATGTTTCTAAAGTGAAAAATTTCTATTGCCTCTTTTATGTGTTGCTTGGAAGTGGGGGGTGGTGTGAATCGCTGATTGGTCATTTGGGCCCCTTGAGGGGGGGTTTGTTGTCTCGCCTAGGCCAGGTGTGAATAACTCATGCATACACAGGAGAGCCCCTATGTCTTTGATGAAAAAAGCCCCCTGTTGAAAAATAGGTATTAACACAAGTTAGGTTTTTCCACTTATAAATATCCAGCTGAATGTTGTAGCTACACTATTTAGTCATCTTCACATACTCAAGATTTTGATAAGATTTCTGGGACCAAAGCAATGTACCTTCTTATTATGTATTTTCTATGGAAGTATTTTTGCTACGTTAAATGCAAAATAATTGAGATATTAAATTAAAATTGAGATCTTACACCAGTCACTTTGTCATGTACACAAAATCGCTGTATTAAAACTACAGAAGCATGTTTGTTTGTCGAAATATCTGATAATGACTTTGGAACACTTTGGAGATACCATCTCATACATACAACTTGGTATCTCCAAAGTGTTACTTACTAAGTTATATGTATGAGATAGTATCTCCAAAGTGCATTTTTTTTTTTATGTGTATATTTTGACTTCAGATCATAAACTGAGGAGATTGCAATCTGACATAATCCGACATCCATTTAATTAAAGAAGTTTAATTCTGGAACAAATATATAAAAATATATACCATGGTATAAGTTTCTGCTGATCGAAATCACGCCAGCTGGGTTCTGCTGCCACGTCGGCTGGTCTTAAAAACCAGAGCTATAGCCTTGGGAATGTGTTCCCAACAATCTGTTCAAGTTTGAGCCAAACAGGGCAGTATAAATATGTGCTACTTTGATCAGGGTATGTTCCTATGTTCAGTTTTAGCAAGTGATGTCACATTAATTTTGCCTTCTTTCAGGATGTGGGTCAGTCATCTCAAGCACCAGTCAGCCAGCCTCAACTTGAAGGTAGGGTCACAGGTCTGTTATTTCAAGAACTTTGCATTTAAATGGAGAAGGTGTTTGTGAATGTGGCACTCTGAAGGTGTGAAGTTTTACAGTTTAAGAATGACGTGAATTTTCTGGATGCTTCCTAACTTGGACCTATTTTTTTTCTTAGAACTAGAAGCAGCCGTTGAGGCCTCGGACTTGCCAGAGCCGGTGTGTTTCACTTTGAAAAATCGTAAATATTTAATTGGTTCTTTTAAATGTGACAAGGCACTGGACACAACTACAGAAGGTGAAGCAAAGTAAGTCTGTCATCTGGAATAATCGTCCCATTCTCTCTCCCTCCCTCCCTCTTTTTAAGGGTTCTGATGGAGAGGGAGGCTCGGCCTTATCACGCTCTGTTTGTACAGAGGGCAGCCCAGAGCTCATTAGCCTACAGCCTGAATCTCCAGAGGAGAGGGAAATGAAAGGGGCTTCCTCAGACGAGATGGTAACGAGCACGGACTCCGAAGTGGCTCAGAGCAGCTGGACGCTCCTGGAAGCTGGAAATCAGGAGGGTGTCCTGGAGTGGAATTCCTCATTGCAGGATTTTGATCAGCTTGCCCATCAGCCCTGGGAACAGACCAGTGAAGGAGCTGGTGTCTCGACTGCCTCTTCGGTCCATCTGCAGTCGTCCTCGGTTGTTATCCATGAGACTGTTCATGTCACCGTCACCCAGCAGGACGACCCGAATGCCAGCCAAGCCTTTGCCCAGGCTCTAGCAGAGGAGCTGCAGAATAAATACAGTGAGCTGTTGGCTGAGCTCCAGCGACTCAGAGAAGATGCTTCAGACTCACAGGCTAACGTCCACAGGCTACAAGAGGAAGAGCAATTACTGAGGGTGGCCAAGGAGGCTGCAGAAGATCGAGTACAGGAATATGAGGAAGCCCTGCAGGCAGCTAGGGCCGAGTTGCAGGAGGTTGCCCAGCAGCGGAGCCAGAGTGTGGAAAACAGCATGCTTCAGGAACAGTTATGTAGCCTTCAGACTGCAGCCTGTTGCAAAGACCAGAAGATTGAAGCCTTGCAGGCTGACATGGATAAGGTCCAACACTACATTGCTGAGCAAGAGACTAAAATCAGAACACTCAATGCCCAACTGGATGAAAAGAACCAGGCTGCTTTTGAGCTGGAGCAGAAGCTGAAGGACTCTGAAACTAAACTTCAAGATCTAGAGGATCTGCAACTTTGCCTTTCCCAGAAGGAGCAGGAGATGATGGAACTCAACAATGCAATGAGTGCAAAACTCCTTCAGGCAGGAGAGGAGAAGTTCTTGGTAAGCAGTGAGGTTGCGAAATTGAATGAACAAGTGCTTGAGCTCAAGAGGGCCATGGAAGAGCAGGATAGTAGAGGCATTGCTTCAGAAGATGAACTCAGAAGTCTGCATAAGGAAAAGCAGGACCTGAGCTCTCAAGTGGCTGCAATGAAAAAGGAGGGAGATCAGATTAAGAGAAAACTCCAAGCAGCTCTTGTGCAACGCAAAGAACTAATGAAGAAGGTTGAGGCATTTGAGAAGGAAGCAGAAAGAGTAAAAGAGCAAGGTGAGGCAAGCGAAGAGAAAAGCTTTTTGGATGTTTCAGGCCCTGATGCAAAAGAAGAGGAAGAGCGGGTAAGAAATCAAGAGCTGTTGAGGTTTGAAACTGCATTAGAGGAAGCCAATCGAAAGTTGAAAGCCAAAGAAGAATCCCTTAAAATGCTTGAACAGAAGATTGCTGAGAAGGATAAGACTTTGACTGAGGTGCTTGCAGAAAATCAGAGACAAATTGAGGAAGCTGATCATGTGAAATCTCAGCTCTGTAATGATGAACAGCTAAACAGAGAAAAAGCTGAGCAAGAAATGGCTTTACTCCAATCCCAGCTATCATCCCTAGAGTCTGAACATGACATGCTGCAGAAGAAGCTCCAGGAGTCTCTTGAGTCACGGAAGGAAACCATCCGCAAAGCAAAGGAGAAGGACCGCCATCACAGAGAGCAGCTCAAGCAGCAGAAGGAGGAGTACAATGGCCTGTTGGGTCGCTTTGAGGAGCAGGGCATGGAACGGGATAGACTTCTGAACCAACTTAAAGAGCTAGAAGAGATGAAAGCACAGAACATGCAGGTTAATTTGGGAAAAGAACCAGAGCCCGAGCCTCAAAAGGAGACCACAGAAAAACCAGTTCAACAAAGTGGGGGTGACTGGGGTCAGGAGGACTGGGTTGACTTTGCAGCTCCAGAGTCTGAGACTGATCCAGAGAAGTCCAGTCACAGTACACAGCCACCTTTGTCAGGAGCTCCTGATCCTGGAGATGATGAACTAAAGGCTCTCAGGGAAGAGGTTCAGGCTGAGCAGGCAGCTCGTCTGGAGCTGGAAAAGCAATTGCAATACAGCCAAAAATGCCTGGCTCTGAGGGAGTCTGAGCTTCTGGAGCTGAGCAAGGAGTTGGAGCTTCTAAGAGAAAAGGAGTGGCAGATAAATACGCTGTCTTTAGAAATCACTGACCTGAGGGAAAAATGCAGACAGGCTGAGGCTCAGGCTGAGATGTTGAAGGCAGAGTTGGAAGCGGCAGCGGCTTTAGAAACACATGGGGGAAGGGATGGGTTAGATTCTCCCATCACTCAGCTGCAGGCTGAGGTGGAGGAGTTCAGGCAGTTTCTCAGCTGTAAGAACAATGAGATTCTGGAGCTGAGTCAGCAACTAAGTGAACAGAACTCCCTTCTCCAAGTGATGCAAGAGACTGTGTCAGAGAAGGACAAGTTGATAGTTTCCCTTCAAGAGAGCCTGAAGACTGAGAAAGAAAAGAGTCGGAAGCTAGAAGCTGAGGAGGAAGGCAGGAAGGAAGAGGAGAAGATTGATGAGTCGAGGCTCCAGCAGCTCCAGCGTAAACTACAAGCTGCATTAATTTCCCGCAAGGATGCACTGAAAGAAAACAAGATGCAGAAGGATGAAATCTCTCTGTTGGTAAAGCACAAGGCAGAGATGCAGACAAGGCTAGAGGCTGGGGAGGCCAAGCTAGTGAAGCTGAGAATGGAAAGGGAGAAGCTTATTGCAGAGGTTGACAAGACCCTTCTAGAGAACCAGGGCTTAGGCGCATCCTGTGAGAGTCTCAAGCTAGCTATGGAGGGAGTGCTGACAGAGAAGGAGGAGTACAAGAAGGAGGTGACCCTTGCAAAGGAGCAGGTGGCTGTAGTGTCCCGTGAGTGGGAAGAAAAAGTGCAAGGGATGAAAGAAGAGTATGAAACACTTTTGAAGTCCTACGAAAATGTTAGTGATGAGGCAGAGCGTGTGCAACGGGTGCTGGAAGCTGCCCGTCAGGAGAGACAGGACTTGGTAGCAAAGATGAGGACTCATGAAGTGGCCAGGAAGGAGGCGGAGGGACTGGCAGAGGAAGCCCAGAAGGAGGTTGAGACCGTCAAAGACAAAATGAGGAAGTTTGCTAAGGCTAAGCAGCAGAAAATTATGGATCTAGAAGAGGAAAATGAGAAGCTGAGAGAGAAGGAGGAGAGGAAAGGCGATGGTGCAGAAGTGGAGTATATGAAGCAGAAAGAAGAGTTTGACAGAGCAAAGGAGGAGCTTGAGACACTGAGAGCTGATTTGGATACCACTAGGTCAGAGAGAGACTTACTGAAACAGGAATCTGCAGAGCTAAGAAAGAAGTTGGCCCAGGAAATGGAGAAAGGTATTATTCATAGCGCTGTTGGAGGTTCAGACTCTGAAACTTTTGTAGAAGAAACTGTGACAGTCCAGCGATCCAGCATTTTTTCGACTCAAGCTAGTCAGAAACTGAAAAGTCAAACAGAGAAACATGAAACAGTAGCATTAGTCCTTGATTCTGCACTGGAGATATCAGAGATGGAAGCTTCTGAAACTACCGAAGATAGTATGCAGAAGAGAATCAGGGAGATGGATGAAGCCCATGAAACCAAGAAGGAATTGAGGCGTGTGCGGGAGGAAGAGCTGAAGGAACAGCTGGCTTCTCTTCAGCAGCAGTTGCAAGAGAGGAACCTGAATGAGGAGAGCTTGAAGGATGAGATGGCTAAATGGGAAGTAAAGTACCAGGAAGTACAAGCTCGTCTGGAGGCTGAAAAGGATGATCTTGAAGAACAGCTTATGAACCAGATGGCACAGCTGAATGGCAGCATTGCCGGTTACCAGCAGGAAGCTGCTGACGGTCGTGAGCGTCTGGTGGAGCTACAGCGGTCGCTTGAAAAGCTCGAGAGTGAGCGGGCAGAATTTGAGGCCCAGGCAAAAAGCGAGAGGGACCGTGCAGCTCGGTTGGAGGAAGATATGAGGCAAACCCAGAGGGAGAGGGCTGAAGCTGAAGCAGAGGTGGGAAGGCAGAGGGAACTTGAGCAGAAGTTGAAGTCTGCGCAAAGGGGCAAGGAGGGTAGTCAAAGTCGTGCACGCCAGTTGGAGGAGCTGCTAAGGGAAAAACAGCTGGAGGTGCGACAGATGCAGAAAGACTGCATCAAATACCAGGAGAAGATTAGCGAGCAGGAGAAAGAGGTCAAAGCTTTGCAGATAGCCAAGGATGAGGCAAAACGCGAATTATCTGCTTCCTGTTTCGAGGCCACAAAGGCTGCGGAGGAGCTGAAGAAACTGGAAGCCGAGCTGTCATCTTACAGAATACGTCTAGATGATGCATTGAGTGAGGTCGGGAGAGCACAAGCGGAAAAACGGACTGCCGAGGAACGATCTGTGCGACGAGAAGCTGAGAACAGAGCTGAGGCAGAGAGGACGCTGGATGCCGTGAGGCTGCGGCTGGGGGCAGAGCTCAAGCAGACCGAGAGAATAGTGGAGGACCTCCAGAAAGAGAGAGAACGTGAGGAGAGGGCAGCTGTAGAGGTGCGTCAGTTGGCAGAGACCAGAGAGCGGCAGGCCCAGGACATGCAGTCGCGGCTGGACGAGTCGCTGGCACGGCTGGCTGCCTTCTCGCGCTCCATGTCGTCTCTGCAGGATGATAGAGACCGCGTGCTGGATGAGGCGCGGCAGTGGGAAACTCGCTTCCACAGCGCCCTCCAGGGAAAAGAAGCGGAGTTGCGTGAAGCAGAAACACGGGCTCGGAATCTTGGAGAGCAGCTTCAAAAGGAGACGGCCCTTCGAGAAGAAGTTCTGCTCACGCTGGAGAGGTAGGCTTGTTGTGATGTTCACGCAATTTTTTGTATCATATAATTTTTAAATAAAAGATTTTTCATAGTTTTTATCTGGTGTCGTCTTTTTTCCAGAATGCAAAAATCTGAGGCAGATTGGCGGCACAGATGTGAAGAGCAGGAGAAAGCTCACAAAGAGAGCCAGTCTTCTCTGGAAGATCAGCGAGAAGCTCTGCAGGAGGCCCTGAACCAGGTGGAAGAATCTTTAGCACAAAAGAGTAGCTCACTGACATCCCGGGACTCTGAGGCGGAGGGGCTTCGTCACAGAGCTCAGGCCCTGGAGGGGGCAGTAGGAGAGCTGCAGCACGAGATCGAGGAGGCTCGGGCAAAGCTAAGGGAGCGAGAGGCTGAGGAGAGGCGACTGGCCTTGAGCCTAGAGCAGCTGGAGACTGACCTGCGCTCCTCTAAGATGCTGACGGAGGCCCTGCAGGCGGAACTCGAGGGGAAGGAGAAGAGGGAGGTGGAGTTGCTGGGGGAGAGGGAGCTGGCTGTGGCGCAGGTGTGCCGTTAGTCACTTTTCCTGTTTTCAGTTTTTTAATTTGCTTCTTAAATCGCATGCTTTGTGCTGTGGCAGCTGACGCACATGCTAACTTTTGTCTTGATATAGTTGCTTAATGTTATTATCATCCTCCCCTCCCACTTCCCCCCAGGCAGCCGACGAGGCCAGACGGGAGGCAGAGGGACGAGCCCAGGAGGCAGAGAAGGAGCTGGAGCGCTGGAGGGAGGAAGCGAGGAGCCTGGAGGAGCGGGCGCGGACGGCCAACGAGGAGAGCAGCCGCAGCACGGCCCGACTGGAGGCCTTCACCAAGGCCATGGGCTCGCTGCAGGATGATCGAGATCGGGTGCTCGGCCAGTATAAACAGCTGGAGGAGCGCCACCTACAGGTGAGGGCAGTTGCTGTCATCCTCAGGTTTTGTTCCTGCAAAGTCTTTTCGACTAGTATGTCTAGATTAACGTTCTCCCCAGTCAACTCAAAATACATATTACGTTGAAATTTAATCAGGACAACTTCTCAGATGAAAAATGAAGTTGACAGCCCAGTTAAACGCTGTCCGGTACAACAGACATGACGATCACTGTCTTGACCCACTCAGGTGATTGTGGAGAAGGACTCCCTGATCCAGGAGGCAGCAGCGGAAAACAACAGCTTGAAGGAGGAGCTGAGGGGATTGCTGGCGCAGACGGACGACCTCAATGCTGAGAAGGCCAAGCTGTCTGCGCAGCTGCGCCGCTACCGTGACGACCTGACCAGCGTGCTCAGCATGAAGGACAGCCAGCAGAAGCAACTGCTGGCTGCGCAGATGGAGCGTATCGTTGCGCTGGAGAGGGAGTGTGCCGAGATGCAGGGCAAGATTCAGGAGGCGGGGGGAAGGGTGGAGAGGGAGACCCTGAGTCTGGCGGCTGGAGGGGACAGGAAGGAGGAGGCGGGCGCGGTGGAGAAGCTGAGGGAGCAGATGGAGGCCTCCCAGAAGCAGGTAGCTGCCTTGGAGGAGGCCCTGCGTGCCGAGCGCGAGGGGAACAAGGACCGGAGCAAGGAGCTGAGCGAGCTGCAGTGGGAGGGCGGTGTGCTGCGTACGCAGGCGGAGACGGCCGAGGAGAGAGTGGCTGAGCTGGCGCGGGACCTGGTGGAGATGGAACAGAAGCTGTTGGAGGAGAGAGAGCTGTCCTCACGGCTCCGGGCCGAGAACCAGTCCTTCGGACAGGCCATGGCGTCCCTGCAGGACTCGCGGGACCAGGCCCTGAACGAGGCACAGGAGCTGCGTCTACGACTGGAAGAGACGGGCAGGCTGGCTGCTCAGCCCCTGTCCTCTTCGTCGCCACCTGCTGGTGCCTCTGGGGAAGTGTGGGCACTGAAGAACGCATTATCAGCCTTGCAGAACGACAGGGAAAGACTGGTAAGAGGTTTTTGCACTGTGGGCAGTCAGAGTTTGTTTAGCAGACCGTACCTTTGCAGATTTCTAGCCTAGCCTACCACTTCCTCTTCCTCAATGGGATAGCGAGCTTTGTGCCAACAGTGCTGCAGATCACATCAGCATGGATGTCTTGCCTATATTAAAACAACTTATGTCAAACAACTTGAATTAAATCAAAGCTTGATTTTAATACTTTTTTTCTCTTCTTATACACACCTTCCTGGTCATGCAGCTTGAACAGCTGAATCTGCAGCGGTCAGAAGTATCCCGGCTGAGACAGGAGGCAACGGAGAAGGCCACAGTCATGGGGGAGCTGGTGGAGGAGAAGAGGATGGCTGAGGAGGCTCTTCAGAGGGAGGACAGGATGGAGACAGAGAAGAGCGAGGAAGAACAGAGGATGCTGAGAGAGATACAGGAGAAGGACGAGCAGCTGGAGGTTCTCAGGTCCGTCACTGGTCTTCATTTAGCATTATGCTTACTCGATGTTTTATGTGTCCTCTGTTATGATTGTGTGAAAGTAGCACTGAGCTCAGATTTGTACTGTGTAGCATGATAGCGTTCTAGTTTTCATTTGGGCTCTCTGGCGCCCTCAGGCTGGAGCGTGAAGAATGGCAGGCTCATGCCAAAGTCCTGAAACAGCAGACCCTGGCAACTCTCATGGACCGGGATGAGCAAGTCCAGCAGCTCAGTGCGATGTTGGAGGAGGCGAGGGCCGTATGCCCCAAGGTCTCAGAGGAACAGTACCAGAGAGAGGTAATCAGCTGTCACTCTCATCTCTTATCTAATAAAATAAAATTGGCATATTTTTAGGATATTAAGGTATTGCCGTTTGTAAGCTGCATCCATGGTATTATGTTTGTTTTTTCCTTTTTTGTGTTCAGGCATCTCCTAGGACAGACCTGTCATCCGAAGGCCAGGTCCTGCATGCCGACAGCGGGCAGCTGAGCAGCCAGCTGAATGATATGCTGAGGGAACTCCATTCAAAGGAAGTGAAGATCACAGAACTCGGCAACAAGGTAAATGCTGATGTTTCTGGTGTCCGTATTCTTTCTGCACTCTTGTTCCCTCTCAGTCCAGCCTGCTGTCTGTGGGCCATGGGTGTTTCTCAATATCAAGAATGCAAAGATTGGGTGTGCGGGTGCTCCGGGCTCCGGGCTCTATCCGTGCCCCAGGGGGGGCCGGCGCGCTACCGCCTGTGGCCGTGGGGTTCCTGCCTCGTGCTTGCCGGTGGGGGGCGCCCGGTGCCTCCTTCCCTGCCTTCCTTGGGTGGGCGCGCAGCCTTCCGGTGGCGGGGGCCCGGCTACCTGGCCACTGTGGGGCGGCTGGGTCCGTGACCCGTCGGGGCTCTCCCGGCCGTCTGGGGGCCCCGGGGCGGCGTTGTTGTGGCCTCGCACACACACTGGGAATCATTCCATGTTAACCTGCACACTCATACATACACTCACAACACACAAACATACACACATACACATATGCGTACACACACACATGCACGTACATATGCACACGCACACACATACACTTAGAACGCACACACACATAGACATGCACGCACACGCACACACACGAGCGCCTGGGGCTCTCTTCCCCTATTTTATCCCTCTTTCCCCTTGTCTGGGTGTGTGTGTCCGACTATTTTATCCCTCTTTCCCCTTCTCCGGCTTTGTGGCGCATTGACATATAACTGATTAATAAAGAGTATACCTCAAGTAACAAGAGGAGCTTAAATCCGAAGCTCCACTTGTTAAAATAAAAGTGTTGGCACTATAAGGCACCCAGACTAACATCCTGCTTGCTTAACTGCCGACACGACAGGGGGGAAAAAAAAAAAAAATGCAAAGATTGGTCTTGCCAAGACCATGAGTACAATCTTACTAACTTGCCACTTGAGAGAGAATTTTGGGTGCAATGAATCACGAGATTGGTCTCATTTGATGAGGATGCTCTCTGTACTTCAGTTCTTGGTATTGGATCTGGTCTTCGGCAGTGGAAGATGATGTAAAATGGGTACATGAGAACACAAATACGGTCAAGTACACATATTGAGAAACACTCTGACTCTCTGGCTTTTCTGCTATGGTGTCTTGAAGTTAACATGCCCTATTTCTCGTCCCCGGCCTGCACCCTTTTGCCCCCAGCTCTCGCAGGTATATGAGGAGAAGCAGCAGCTGGCTGCCCAGCTACGAGGCAGCACTCAGCGGTTGGGAGACTCGCAGAGTCGCTGCAGCGCCCTCCAGAGGCAGCTCCAGGAACTGCAGGAGGATAAGAGGAAGGTTGGACTTTCGGAGTGTCATTACCTGCTTTGCTCAATGTTGCTCCCGTCATGAAAATTTGTAGCTGTCTCTACACACCCACTCTGCCTGCTATTAATGGTAGTTTCCAGAAGTTTGTGGTACTTTGTAGGATGGATGATTGATTTGCATAAAGACAGCCATGTTCTGTATGGGATTTTTGCCTCCTTCCTTCAGGCCTGTGGTTTGTTCCTCTTTGCTCTGTAGGGCATGCAGGAGGTGGACAGCGCACCTGGCGCCCCACAGGAGCGAAGTGAGCCTTCCGGGGGCTACAGGGCAGAGCTCAAGGAACTGCAGAGAAGGTCTGACGCATCTCCACTTTCTCTCAGCTGTCTGTGTGGTCGACTCAAGTTCAGGCTCAATTGCCAGATCATCACAGGATTGTCCAGCCTTTCATGCCTCATTTTCTCGCAGGCTGGATGAAGAGCAGGAGCAGAGACTGGTGGTGGAGGAGCAGCTGTCCGCCATGCAGGACCGCCTCAAACGGTATGAGTCTCAACACCGCACCTACCTTTGGTGGTAGTGGAAACCGAGAATGTCGTATTTCCAACTGTGAAGTCATCTACTGACTGTGCACTTACAGCTGTCACTCCCCGCCCCCCCCCCCAACACTGCCGGCTCTGTTTAGGCAAACGTCCAGTGAATGGCGGCATGGGCACGATGGGAATTTCTCAGAAACTGCAGTTCTTATTGAGCCACCAGAGGGCGCTGTTACACGGGTGAGGGTCATTCTCTTTAAATGGATCGCAGAAAGCAGAGTAGCCACAATCATTTTCACATCTATACATTTTAGCAAAGGAGTGGTGGATGATGTTCACTTTACGCGTTGTTGTATTTGCTCTCCTTCCTCAGACGCGGAGCAGCAGCCCGGGACTCTCGCGGATCCTGCGGGTGGCTTTCTGCTCGCGCCAGCGCACGCCGCTGCTGGCCACGCTGTACCTGCTAACTGTGCATGCACTGCTGCTTCTGTGCCTCGGCGGCTACCTGTGACGACGCGGCGGGCGCGGGGGGCGCGGCAGGCGGGCCTAGCTCAGAGGAGGCGGATGATGCCAGCTTCTCGGACATGTGACGCGTGGGTCCCTAAGAACAGGCAGGCTTGGCCTCTGCCTCACCCCGATGGGGGGTGGGACAAAGGCAGGGATGTGTGTTGTCCCAGTCAATAGCCAAAGGAGAGTCTTTGTATACACCAAAATATCTACTGCCACCGGTGTAGAACAGTGGGGACGAGAAGCATCGACACTCTACCTCAGAACCAGTCTGCCTGCTCTGGAAATGACACACATGTGCCGGAAGAGCCTCTTCAGGCAAGCAGGAGCTGATCTGATGTCTGACAGACTTCGCAGTCATGGGGCCATAAAGTGGGAGGGGTTTCTGGTGCCTTGATGGTTGCTGACTGGTGGTGTGGATCATTCTTGGCTTAATCAGCCAAAAGCGTCTAAAGGTTCTAATCCATGTTTCTCCCCTATTCCTTAAAGCCGTCAGACCAGCCAGTTTTATTTTAAATTTAGCTCTATCTGTAAAAGGACTTGAACTTTCGTCTTCCATGTGTATGTCGTGAGGATTTGTTGTGCTTGTTCATCTAGCTTAATTTCCCACAGCCGCAAAAAAAAAAAAACTCCCGAAAGTCTGTGGGGTAATAAGGCTTTACGCCATCGGGTCTGTGCCGCAGATTTCACCATCTGTCGGCTGCTGCTTTGAATTCGCAGAATTTTAAACATTGATGGTTACTGGTGACCCCTTGTGGTGATGCCCACGTACTGACATTCCGTGTATTCTTGTCATTTCTGGTTTCCTCATGTACTACGTTTCTCACGAAATTAGTCAGCATAAACTTTATTAAGACTTGGTTGTGGAAAAACCGCTGATACGGTTGACCTGTGTACGGTCAGTCTTTTTAATATTAGAAGATAAGTGCTAATTCTTTGATTTGTATTCAGTCACTACTGTACCTTGTGGTCAGGAGAGTAATAGTAAAATCCTGTATGATCACAGTAAAATCTGCACGTTTTCCCTTTAATCGTCCTTCCTTCATTTTAAATAAAATCTATTCATGGAACTTTCGTAATTGATTTTTTTTGTATCTGTCGTTACATTTGCACCTTTTTAAAACCTAAAAAAAAATCAAATAGGCCTACAACGTTTGTGTAGGCTCTGGAGTTTTTCTGTGAACAGTATTGTGAAGAAATCTCTCTTCGCCGTTCATGAAGGATGTTCCCTGCGCTTGACGCATAACGGCGCGTCTGTGGGAAGTGCGGACGCCTATGAAAGTCCGCACGAACCTTATAAGCTCGGCTAAAGTTCCGCTTTAGCTCAGAAACACCGTGCGAGGTCCAAGAAAAAAATTGACACGGTAAGTTCCTATATTTATTGATTTTTATAACTATCTTAAAAAATTTAAATAACCTATTAGGGTTATTTAAATAACCATATAGTTCGTGGAAAGTTTTACCGTTTTTAAGTAAATATATTATCCTAAATATATTTGAAATGATGTAGCCTACAAAATTACTCAATAAATAGACGTGCATTTACGTTTTTCACGCTGCATTGTTTCAAGGGACGCTTGTTGCGTATGATCCTTGTATATTTTTGACTAACGGCGTAAGGGAGCGTTGGGGGGGCACACAGCTTAATACTTTAAATACAAAGATCTGTGTATTTCGGGGGATGAATGAATCGTAGTTAAATACTGGGGGTGCAGTTTAATTTAATTAGTCCAGATTTAAAAAAAATAAAAAATAAACTACAGTTAAAATCCTAGATCCACCTTCGCCAGAATTATAATTAACTATAATTAACCCCTAACTGCAATGTGTGAACATGCAGGTCTGCTTACCTGTCAATATGTCATTGACAGCGAGCGACGCCAATGCTGCCGGCGATCTGCTGTGGCGGAAAAGCCAGAAACGCTGAGCACCTCGCATGTGTATCATACCAGACCCGGATATGTACTGCAATGTTAATACCACATGTGTGCAAACTGGCCTCTTTTCCCTCAGATGTGGAAGTCAGGGGTGAGCGATGATATGAAGGGGACAGCGGCAGGGGGAGGCGACAGGTGGGAGAGACGCGCTGACTTTGCGGTGAGCCGCTTTACATACAGGCCATACTGGGTCCCCAGGGGTCGTTTCTCTGCTTATTTCTCTAAAGTATTTTTTTTCTGCTTCAAATTACGTACAATATATTTTTAAAGCACAAAATCACGGGGTTGTCAATTTAAAACGATCCTTAGTAATTCCCTCCCTGGTACAAGTGTAACTGACGGTATCACCAAAATTCCCAAATCCTCGCAGTCCCGTCCATCACCGGAGCGCGGCGCTGTAGAACAGGCACGCTGCAAAGACAAGACCATTGATGGGTCCAGTCTTCTGGGACTCCAGAAACTAAAGAATAACCGCAAGTTGGTGCTGTGGGATTAACTGTTGTTTCAAAATCAGCTATGACCCGAGAAGTGTTTAAATGTAGCATAAGTTAAGTCATTTAAGAGATCTCCAGCTTCGTGGAAAATCTGACACACGATCTTTATTTGGAACCTTGTTAATCACTATAGCAGCTCATTACCTACAAGATGAGGAAGTGAAAAACTAGCAGTATTTCTAAATAAGTGGTTGTGAAAATAACCTGCTTGGTTATTGGTAAAAGAGATCCTTCGTGTTCATCTTGATGTCTTGTGTCACGTGACCGCGTCCATGCTGGCATGTCAGGAGGACACATGCGTGCCGTGCCCTCTTAACCTTTAGAATGGCCGAGCTGACGAAGAAGATATTCGCGAGGAATCGGAAGCAGCAGCTGAAACCCACCGTCGGCCCCGGAAGGAGGGTTAGTGTGGAGAAGATGAGCGGCCAGGTGAACAAGGTAAAGCTGTAGGCAGAGTTCACGCCTCACGTGCCCAGTAGCAGTGTTGCCAACTTACCGACTTTGTCGCTATATTTAGCGAGTTTTTAGACCCCTCTAGCGACTCGTTTTCAAAAAAGCGACTAGCGACAAATCTAGCGACTTTTTCTAGTGTTACTGGAGACTTTTGGAGACTCTGACGTGAAAGCACATATCGTCCTTACTCTTCTCACCGGGCAGCGGGTGCTGCCGTGGGCTCCTCTCCGTCCCAAAGCACTCACAGGTGGCCAGTCCGCGCGCAGCAGCCCCGCCCAGCTGCAGTAACAGCAAGGAAATGTGCATCATTTTCTCACATTGTTTTTATATATATATATATATATATATATATATATAAAATCGACAGAAGAAAGTTAATTTGTCGTTCTAAACGTATCTATGGAAAAACATTTTTTGTCTCTCCCACGACATTATTCCGCTCTCCTACAGCGTCCATTACAATTACATGCACATTATGCAAATGAGGCGATGGCGTCATTTAGCGACTTCTAGCGACTTTTGGGACAGCCAATAGCCACTTTCCTTGCTGAAGAGTTGGCAACAGTGCCCAGTAGGGCTGGTCCCATGTCCGTTTGTGCGCGATTTCAGTCTCGAACAGACGGCCACTAGGTGGCAGACTTGAGCAGCACAGGCACTGAACAGACCAAGTCAGAAGCCTGTACTGCTGCTCTGAGTGGCATTAAAGGATTACTGACATTACTGCAGATATAAAGACCATCAGGGGTGCACCGAGGGGGATTATCGTGTGTGTCAATCAGAGACCACTTTAATAGGTACTGCATTATTAAACCTGGCAGATATTGACAGCATATGCTTAATCCTGCCCAGTGCAGGAGTCAAAGCTGTGCTTGTTCCATCATAAGTCATTCATATGGTTATCCGCCCATCCTTCCCCAATGCACCACCTATTCATGGCAAATTAATTGCAGATTTATGGTTCCGCTTCATTTATTTCTTCATTCATGTCTTTAATTGCCCTGCTGTCTGTCCTGTATCTCACTGCTGCCTGTCCTGTATCNCTGTCCTGTATCTCACTGCTGCCTGTCCTGTATCTCACTGCTGTCTGTCCTGTATCTCACTGCTCTCTGTCCTGTATCTCACTCCTGCCTGTCCTGTATCTCACTGCTGCCTGTCCTGTATCTCACTGCTGCCTGTCCTGTATCTCACTGCTGCCTGTCCTGTATCTCACTGCTGTCTGTCCTGTATCTCAGCTTATTGTTGCAATGCTGTCTGTCATATTTCCCCCCTGCACCTGTCCCCTCCCCTGCAACTGTAGCACAAGAATTTGACTCTTGGAATTTGACTCTGTTCCTTGGAATACGTGATGATAAAACTTGAAAGTTGTATGTATGGGTCTTTCCATTTTATTCATATATGCAATTATTTTACCAATTATGATTTCTTCTGTCCTTGTATATTTTTTGCTGAAATTACAAATACACACAGGGTGAATATAATTCAGTATCTAAGGTTTTTGCAATTCTTTTACATATAAAACTTATATAAATTAAAAATGGTTTTGAATGGATCAATGCTGGTCTGGCTCCGTCAGTATGGTCTGCCGTTTTCATGGTCCTTTCTGCTTGTTTATGTAATAAGTCTCCTTCCTCTTTGCATTCAGTTCTCTATGGGACTTGTCTACAAGTTTATGAAGAATCTAGGAGATGTTCATCAAGGTACTACTGCTGGCACCTCTGCTGACTGAAGAACAAATTTCACAATTATTATGACACCTTTTTCCTGCAACTTTCACCATCATTACCCAAAAGGGCATAGGTAGTAATCTTGTACCCCTTCCCCCCCTTCCCCCACCACCCAAATTTTGCATATAATTCTACGTATTTAAGGGCCCATGTAAGGTGTTGGGCCTCCTGAATGTGCCTGGGCATGCATGTCCTGTCTGGGAAGAAGATGGTGGAGGAGATCTGGGAGGAGCTGGATAAGCAGATGGGTGGTGTTTGGGGGGGGCATAATGACTCATTGGAGGGGGGCTTGCCCCATGAATGCCCCCCACATGATGCCAACTCTGCTGCCCCCCCCCCTCCAAGTTTCTTTCATACACAGCTACATTCACATTTGGAAGGACCCATTTTATCCTTCATTTCTGAACAGTCAGCTTGCTTTCTCAATTACTCTCGTCATTCATTTCTTCTTCCCTCGACTCAGATGGCGGGAAGTCTGGAGGTGATAAGAAGGCGACCAGCCAGGCCGCTGCAGGTAGCCGAGCCTGGGGATGGGGGGGGGGGGTGTCCCAGGAACCTCAATGAGGTTTGAATAGGGAGAGCACTAAATGCAGCCATTCTGAAACACAAACCACAAAAGAACTTGTACTTAATGAGATCACTATATATTAACTCTCAAAGAAAGTTGACGAGCTGCTTGACATCCGCACATCCTCACCTTTATCCCGTAGATTTTGAGAGGGGCGGCGGTGGGCCGGAGAGACCTCATCACACGGTGGGTGGTGTTCTCAGAGAGCAGTGCTGAGGCCACTCGCCACTAGGGGGACCCGCTTCTGACTGAGGCTCTGTGTGCATCTGCATATGGAGCTTGTGTGACTAAATCGTTTGAGTGGACTGTTTGAGTGAACCTTTGATGGACTGTCCCCTGTGATCATGCATTGGATTAGAAGTTAAGGGAAATAAGAGAAATAAACTGAAGAATAATCACTTTAAGCTTTACTTGTCTTCCAGGCATGATTTTGAATGAGCTACAATTTTGATAGCAGGTATATGATGCATGCGAAAGTGTTTTTGCAAAGGGTGTTAAATACACTGTATCGGTGTTCATGGTGCTGATATTGGATTGTATATCATTTAATGATGAAAATGATTATTTCCTCTTAAACGATGGCAGTAATTGTAAATTCACTCAATACTCTGTCCCGTTATACCGTAGTATCTGTATAATTATACATATAATCGTACTAATGAACCACTTTGTGCTCTGTTCCATGACCAGCATGCGGCATCCTCCCATGACATGGAATGCACCAGTGCCCCCTGCAGGCAATCAATTACATGTGAGGACCACACCATCTACCATAGGAGGATTGTGTTCGCCTGTGTGTGTATTTAGGGAGTCAGCTAACTTATTACCTTCAAATTCACTCCCATCCTTCTGGATCTGGTGCTGTAATCCAGGGCTCCTGATTTGTAAATCAATCCTTCATCATAAATCTTCAGTACTTATAAAGGGGCTTGTTGTCCTCCATTTATGGACAAATCATTATATGGATCTGGACTAAGAGCCTCGTAACAGATGCCCACTTCCACAGGCCATTGCTCAGTTGGCTGCATGGTCTGTGATCACACCTAAACATTAGTGATGCACAAAATGATTCTTCATGAACCATTTGCTGTATTTTTTGACCCCACTAGATGGCGCTCTTAGTTTGCGTTGAGGCATACTTTTGTGGCCTTTTTTTGAACAGGGAGCAACACCTAGTGTGGGCAAAAAATACAACTAATGGTTCATGAACTGTTGTTTTGTCCATGACTACTAAACATCCAGCTTTGGCCCACCTGAGAAAGGAAATGGAGGATGTTTCATTGTGTTTGCGCTGTGCTTGGGGTGAAGCTATTTACGTGTGTCGATTGTGTGACACGTGTGTGATGCTGCAGCTGCTGGGAGAGTGGCCACACTTAAGGCCCAGTTTGAGGACATAATGCAGGGGATGAGTGAAGACAGCAGGAGGCGGCTGGAGAATAACAGTGGAATGAGAGAGACGCAGCAGCACCAGGCATGTAACCTCTCTATCCAGCCATCCACTGTTAATGTAGGGATGGACAAAAATGATGCTTCCTGAACCATTTGCTGTTTTTTTTTACCCCACTAGATGGTGCACAAAGCATGCCCCAAAACAAACCAAGAGCATCATCTAGTGGGGTAAAAAAAATACAGGAAGGTTCAGGAAGCGTCATTTTTGTCCATCACTACTAAATGATCAGACCGTAATCCATTAGCTTATGGCTTAGGGCTGGTTCATACTGTGGACAAGGTCGTGCCACAGTCCCAGAGCTGCTCTTCAGTCACATTTATGTAGTGAGGTACGAATGTTGTATTAAAAAGTATTTAACTGAAATTAGCCATGCATGCATTTTGTACTTGCAGTACACAAGGGCATAGGTATATGGAATTGCAGCTGGAAGTATACTTTTTTAGTTTGCAGCCATTTGGGAGTCTTTATAATCCCATAACTGAGAATCATATAAATGCCGGCACTTCCAGACTTCCACAGCACACCTTTCCTTAAATCCACCGACCATTTTCATCATCATTCTGATTATAGAGAGTAGAAAAGGTGTTTGTATACAATCTTTGGTCCGACTGCTTTCTCACTTCATGCTACTTTTCTCCTGGCCAGTGAACGGACGTGGTGCATTTGCATCACTAAACACACCATCCACGTTATTTTGAGTGATACTTGGTGTCCGTGACAAAATTTCCGTCACACCAGCTACTCGTGGTGGCAAGTCCACGGTATGAAGCAGCCTTGTAATGCAGCTGCAAAAAGATACAAGATAAACTGCTTCTCTGCTTTCAGTCTCATTTATTGCTCGAAATAAGAATGTCTGTGCTTATTTACGCAGTGCGGCGGTAAGCAAATGGGTCAAGGATGCACCCCTGCCCCAAAGTCCAGGAAGACCGCAGGGGTGTTGAAGATGCTGCGGGGGACAGGGGGTCCATCTGCACAGGTGCCTGCAGTCGCAGGGGGAGGGGGGAAGTGGCCTCTCTGCTGTGGCTGAGCCTCTGGCTTCTAGAATGAACTCTGATCCATGGTCAGCAGGTGCAAGAAATGATCCGGAACGCAGGTCAGGTCGAGACTGAGGCAGCGGGAAAAGCTCAGCACACCGACCCAGAGCCGGATGGGGTGTATGAGACCATGGAAAAAGCCCCCCCTCAAGGTTGGTGGGGAGTATGGTTTGGTAAACATTAGAGAGTAGTATTCTACCCTGATCTGAGAACACATTAAGCAGATTACAAGTGGTGATGGACAGAGCTGTAGATCGTGAACTGTAACTCTCCATGGTTTAAATAAAGCTTTCCTTCCACAGTGGATGAGAGCGAGTATGTCGAGGCGATGGCCGTCTGGTCCGCAGTGGCCATGTACAGCTACCAGGCTGGTAGGTATCGCAGGCCGGAAAGCATGACTGTACCAGCTGCCTGATCGGGTCACCATGTTCTTCGTATCGTACCACTTCTGACGATGTCCAGGGTGCAGTCTGGTGTCCCATAATGATGTGAAACGCCCATCCTCATGGTCTCCCACTCCGAATTCACCTTTTCACTACGACTCAGCTGTTCGCTGAATGAATCGTTCAGACCACCTCAGTTAAGGACTTAATGAAAAGTGACACTTGATCAGAATTTAAAATTAGTGCTAAACTAAGGGGCTGGGGCTACCATGTGTGCCTCACATCTCCGGAAACAAGGGCTCCGCGTGTGTGTGGGGTTTGCATGAACTCCCCATGTCCTGGGGGGTTTTCACCAGGTTCGAAAACATGGTAGGGTGAATTGGAGTTGCCAGATTGTCTGTAGGGGTGCCCTGTGTTGGGCTGGTGCCCCATCCAGGGCTATTACCTCCCCTGCGCCCGTAGCCTCCAGAATAGGCTCTGGACCCCTGTAACCCTGCACAGGACAAGCAGGTATATTAGGTATATAGTGCTTGACTAGTGCCTTTGGTTTGATTTGTGAGATTCGTCCAAGAATGACAGTTAATCGAGGGCTGTAGTGGAATGACTATCAGACCACGAGTCCCGCTGGTGCCGTATCTACCCTGTGCTACACGGCCTAAAAGAACCATGTAATCACCCCCTCCCCTCCCCTCCCTCAGAGACGGAAGACCAGCTCTCTTTCAAGGCAAATGACATCATCGTTAACATCGAGAGGGTGAGCGCCACCTGGTGGAGGGGGCGCTGCCGTGAGAGGGTTGGCCTGTTTCCCGCCTGTTTTGTACAGCCAATCTGGTAGCTCATCCTTCATCCTCCCCATCAACAGACTCTTCGGACTCCCGTCTAAGAAACTGCTTAAATGTGACCTCAAATCCATCCCCATTATATACAAGAGTGACAACCACAACTGTAAATACTTTTTTCCTGCATTACTAATGTTAGTATAGTAACAATTTTAATATCTTAACAGGATAATTTTCTTTATGGTTACTTATCTGCAATATATTTTTGCTCACTTTAAGGAATTTAATGTTCTTTAATTACATAAGTCCTACTGAAAAACCACATCTGTTTAGAAAACTCATTTGAACATGAAAAACAGAGATCATGTTCAAATATCACTTTTTACATCCATTAAAAGGGCAATATAACCACGTGAATTTTGCATATTTCAATGCAGATCATTAGTATTCTGTGAATCCAGTCTCTTGTCCAATGAGTTTTACCAGGCCAGTCCCTTCTTAGTCTTGGGTTTTCCTTTCTTTGCTTTGCGTTTGGCTTTTAGTTTTTTCATCTGCCTCTGGTTCATCCACGTCGGGTACTGTCCGTGTTCGTCCAGCTGGGTCTTTTTCTTCCGTTTGCTGTCCATATCCATAGTTGACACGTCTGAGGATATAATGAAACCGAGACAACATTGCGTAAGATTGTGCCTAGTACCTCGCACCTTCGGTAATGCAAACAGACGAGCATCATGAAGAAGCTCACCCTCCTCTCCTTGCATCTGCACGTCCACCGCCTTCGCTTTAAGCTTCTCCACCGGCACCACAGTAGCGATTTGCTCCACGTCCTTCATGCTGATATCGCCGGTCCCACCATGGCCCAGCGTAGCTTTCAGCCTGGCCAGCTCCTTCGGTTCGTTCTTCTTTCTTTTTTCCGCTCGCATTTTCCGCTTCCATTTACTGCGAAGGCTTTTTGCCATTTTAGTGAATCTGAAGACGCAGCACAAAAAAACTGAAGACAACCAAATACTGGAAACTGCTTACATGAAATTATGCTTACTTAAATATTATTTTATATTCAAGTGATTTCAATATATCTTTGTTATAACGACTACTGCTAATTGTCATGTTGCCAGATTTAGCTACACTCGGTACCTTGGTCAGCTAACAAGTTCGACTTATTAAACGATTTCATGCCTATCGCAGTTTAATTTTCAGTGTTTCTTGTACCAATTTTTATAACTCCAATTAGTCGCATATAAAGAGTAGGATTTATACAGGTTTGTTAGACACTTACCAACTCCAGCCGATCCGAGTGTAAGAAAACAAACACGTGTGGATTTTTTCAGCAGCCGTAAAGCGACTCTACATGTTTGCGACAGTTGTTTAGTCGTAGGACATCAGGATACAGATGCTCGTTTGCCAGAGGCTCGTTTTTGTGGTACAGATTGGCACGGTTCTAAAGTATAGGCGAACATAAGAGCATGGTATAGTAGCTTTAACCGGAAAATATATTTTTGTGAAACTATACTTTCTGCTGGTAACGTCTGCCTGTCTAAATTATACCTGCATATTGTCACTTTAATACCGAAAATGTCAGCGATCTCCACTAGTACTGAGTGAGGTCAAAATCCCAGCCAAATAATGACTTCCGTTTAAAAACTGGGGGGATGACAGAAACAAAACCTATAAGCCTGTGATTATAGCCACAGGAAATTAGCTTTCAAAACCAGTCACCGCCACAGTCTATTTAACCCAGTGGGAAGTAATAAAGCAACCAGCAGTGCGGAGTAAATCCGCTCACGTTGGGTTTACGGCCCGTGCAGGAGCATACTGGTGTGCAGGGCATGTGAGAGACCCCGAAGGGCAGCGTACTCCCATGGAGAGATCGCCATATAGCAGCGCATCCTGGGCTAGTTTCTCCTGTGATGATTCATGGAGCGTTTTTACACCCTGGAGACTGTATGAATGCAGCGTATAGCAGCCTGGTGCATCTCTCATGTCATTTTATCGTACGCTACCGGGGACGGTTCGGGCCTGACGGTTTGTCTATGGAGATCTTAAGTTTTTAGTCTCGTTACTTTTGCGCGGGCTTGTGATTATTAAGAGCAATGAAAGACTCCGCTAACGATGGTCGGGAAACGCTCATTTCTCGGGTCTCCGTTATTGTTCTGGCCACAGCTTTGCTCCTAAGACAAGCTGTTCGCCTCTGCTGGCAAGCTGTGCCCGGCCGGATGGGAGACGGCACCGCCGTCGTGTCCCACACAGATGGCGTCTTGACTGAGCTTGGCCTCCTGGGGTGAAAAAATTACGAGAGACGCGTCAGCACTGCATTCATTCGTTTTGAGCTGCAAGTTTAGTAAGATAAAATTTGGAGGTTTATGAAAGGAAAATCCCAGCAGCTGTTCGCACTTGTCTTGGCTGTGAACTTTCACTGCATGTCCTCTGTGTCCCTGATTTAAACTTCGCTGTTGCACGCTCAGCACCTCTGCTCTGTGTGAGGGGTATGCATGTTCTCCCTGTGGTATGGGAGTCACCCCTGAGCGACAGTGGTACTTAAAAATCTTGAACATGGTATTATTGGTTTGGGTTGGGGGCCCAAAATCTTTAATGACACCCCTGGTCCAAAGACATGCAGTGAGATTAACTGGCATCTCCAGGGTGCCCATAGAGCTGGGGCATGGTGGGTATCAGCTCCCTTATCACACCCACCTGCCATGTTCATGAATAATACACAGGGCTAAGTGGCAGGAACCACAATGGGGCATGAGACCTTTTCTGGAAGCACAGTTCTTGCTCTTAATGTGGGTTCAGCCCACTGCAAGCTGTCTTTGTCAGATGTTAATGAGGTAATTACCTCATGGTGGAAGTGATAAAGGATGGCAGAGGAGGCGGTTCTGCTGCCTCATGGCTCGACGAATGAGGGTTAGGCTCTCCCCTGTGTGTGTGTGTGTGTGTGTGTGTGTGTGAGAGAGAGAGAGAGAGAGAGAGAGATGGTCACCTTGTGTGTGAGTTTCCTTCTGAGTCCGAACACATGCAGCGGTGCTAATTGGCGTCTCTAAATTGCCATGATTGTGTGTGTATGTGTGTCTGCTTCCTGTGGCAGTCTGGAACGCCAGAAAATGCTCAGATGGATGAAAATGATTAATATGCTTATCCATACGTTCACCATTAAACTTCGAATATCCATCCATCTACCAGAATGATCCTGTTCCATGAAGTACATGTAGTCCCAGCACCTCCCCACGCTGTCCCAGTACCGAAGTTTGTGACAGACGTCCATTAAGTCAGCCCCCAATTTTACTGAAAAGTAGCTGTGAATTGGTCTTACCTGAGATCTGGAACTGCTTACAGAAGTTGCCGGAAGCATGGGACAGCAGGCTGACTCGTAGCCTGGGGTGCTGTATGTATGCTTTTAATCTGAGGGATGAGTCCAAGGCGACTCTCAGATCGGGGGATGTTCTCTTGGACCCCCCCGGATGTGATGGTAAGGATCGGTCACTGACCTGCAAACCAACAGACCAGAGGACCTGGCAGAATTTGGCTTGTGTGGGGAAAATGTCTTTGAAACTAGCAGACGTGGTGAATAGACATCACTTCAGTTCAGCTTTTATATAGCGACTTGGACAACAGGATCACCCCAAGAGTCTTTTACATGTGTGAGCTGTAATGCATTCCTGCATCATTTATACAGAATAATTCAAAAACAGGGAAAAGGAAAGAGTAAGAAAGAAAGAAAACAAATAAGCAAGCAAGCCAGTCAGATAACAACAGAGGAGAGGACCCAAAAACTTAGTAAACAAGTAGGGAGGAAAAATAAAAACAATCCTCTGGTCATCCAAGATAAACTGGCTGCCCATTACCACCCAGCCCCCACCAGGGCTGCTAACATTACAGGAAAATAATGAGTGGGCCAAAGTCCATCAGCGAGTCAGTACTCCGTGCCGGCCTGTGGGGGGCAGACTGACTGCTGCCTAGGGACAGGTGCACCGTGCCTCTTGTAACAGTTGTATATCTGTAATGACTCAACAGACAGCTATATGAAAGCAGTTAACCAGCGATGTCTGTTTATATAACATGCTTTTCCCCAGAGGATCATACGGTCAGAAAACCCCTTTGCAATTGTGGATTAAGGGGGCTTTCTCCTGGGACCCATGTCGCTCTGCTGACCTGGGGATTCGAACTGGCAACCTTCCGATCACTGGCAAAGCCAGTATGTTTTATTTAGGGTTTGTTACTTTCCTGCCCTGGGCCTTAAGGACACCTCAGAGTTTACTTTAGCATTAAGTTTATTTGCAAAACATTTTTTGGCCATAGATGAGGTTCGCTAATGAGTTACAATTCAAACAGTAATACTAATATTAACACATATTTGCAAAATCCTTTCACAAACACTGTGAGTGTGACACTGTTTCCGAATGATTGTGACTATCTTCTAGCTAGTTATAATTAAGTTTGAATTATAATTCATTACAATTGATTTCCTGATAAGAGAAATTGGCATTTTAACTAGATCAAATTCCAACTCCCACTGAAATGACAAAAACATTTTGAATCTCACTAGCTAAAATATATTGTCTGATATCAAGAATTCACTTTATAACTAGTTAAAACTGGATTTCTCATGTCAGATTTGAATTCTACTTATTTGTTGACTTTTGATGGTTTACTAAATTGTCATAGACGAACCAGTAAACACCAGTTTTGTTTGAGCTATGAGCTGATTGGTTGCTTAGCACAGTGCGACTTGGAATGTAAAGTGCTGTTGTCATTTGTTTATGTTAGAAACCAGGCGGCAGAAAGTTTCCGTCATGCCTGGATCACAGGTCACACATCCTGCTTTGTGCAACAAAAAAAAATGTTTATTATATAATGTGTGAATAAGCCAGAATAAAGGTTCCTGCTCTGAGTGAATGGGCTGTAAGTCAGCATTTGTTCAATCCGCAAGGTGCAATTTTGAAACTTGGCCGTCAGCGCCCTCCTGCATGCTCACATTAATGTTCTCCTTGTGGGGGGGTGAGGGGGGGTGGTGAAGGAGACGCTGATGTGGGTTAGAAAACAGAAAGTGTTCATGAAAGTGTGGGGGTGTCGAAGGCGTGAAATAGTATCCTTTGGGAAGAGCATGGTGCTCTGTCCCTGGGGGGGGGTACCTTCAGCCCTCGTGTCACAACAACACGATTGATGTGAGCCAGGTTCTCTTTTTGA